GTGTTTTTCTAGTACATGTAAGATTAGTATATTCTGAAAATGCTCATTTTGCCTTATCAGAAAAAACTGGTTTTAGAATTTTGGCTGTGCTTCATCTATTGCTTGTGTGATATCTTTTGGTATTGTTACCAAGCATTTTATTTAGTGCTACTGTGTTTAAGCCTTGTAGCCATTAGTTTACTAATCTGCAAAATGGGACTAATAAAGCCCACCTTATAGATTTCCTGTGAGAATTAAATGCGATATTGTATGAAAGCACCAGCATCATTTTCTGTTGTTACTTTTACCATGTAAGAAAATACACTTGTTTTTGTGAGCTAGATCATATAGTGGAAAACTGAACAAAGTAAAAACAATGTCATTTTAAATGTCTTTGCTGGGTTTTAAAATATCTGTCTGTAAAAGTTATGTATTAATGAATACTGGGAACAACTTTAACTCCTTTTCTCATTTACCTTCAAGTCAAATCTTTATGGAAGAATGGTTCACCCTGTTTCAAAGTGATCGAGTATCTTACCAGGGCCCACAGAACACCTATGAACATGGCAGTGAACCCTTCGGAACCTTAACTTTTAACTTGTTTATGCTGTGGCTGTCAGTTTCTGATTAGCTCAGCCTCGCCCATGCTTTGACCTATACTAGTTTGCTTTACAAGCTGTTCCCAGAATGGCTAAATTAGAAGAGTCACGAGTAGAAGCCTCAGTTATTTCCATTCACTGGTGAAGTGAGGTGGGAATGTGGATGGTAGCCCAGAATGCTTTGTGACTGATGTGTGACATAGGATTTTGATGAAATTTGTTTTACTATTTTTATTAAGAGTAAAATTTTGCTAGTATACATTTTTTGGTATTAAAAATTGTATTTTGCCTTTTAAACACAGTATTTAACCACATATTATCAGCATTTCTGACAGCTTTTTTGTTCATTTCATTTCAATTGAAAAGATTTAACCAATTTAAGGCTTCAGAGCAAGACCATCCTACTGATTTTTTTTTTTAATGACAGCAGAATGCATTTTGATTCCTTGTACACAATTGCAGCACAACTTTACATTTCTGTGGTTGTACATGATGGAGCGTCACACCATATGTGCAGTCATACATGTACCGAGGGTAATGATGTTCATCTCATTCTACCATCTTTCTTGTCTCCATGCACCCTCCCTACCCTCGCTCCCCTTTGCTCAATCAAAGTTTCTCCATTTTTCCCATGCTTCCCCTCTCCCCGTTTGGATCAATGACCATCTTTAAAGAAATGTATGTTAAGTTTGTACAACAGTCTTGGTGTATAGAACACATATAATTTTTTAAAGCAATATGATTCTAACATGGAAGTAAAATTTTATTATTTATTTTATTGTTCCATTTCATAATTTTACCAAAATGGATTATTTTAGATCACTTAGCAAGATAACTTAATAATATTAATCTTAACTTCTCAGTCATATTCATTAAGAAAAGAGGATGCTTGGATGTACGAAACAAGCATGCTCAGTGTTGTGCTTAGATGTGAATCTTACACACCAGGGCTTAAAATCTTGCTTGAAAAAGAACATTAGTGCATGATTTATCACTCAGGTTGTATTTGTTGATAGGTGTGTGTGTGTGTGTGTGTGTGTGTGTATGTGTGTTTATATGTGCACACACAGTGCTGGGGATTGAACACAGTGGCCTTGCGGATGCTAAGCATGTGTTCTACCACTGAGCTGCATCCTTGGCCCTTACATACCTATTTTCAAAGTCTGTTCTTTTAAAAACATTTTGTTTTAGTCTCATTTGGATTCATTTAGTAAAAACTATTATGTACCTTTTTTTTTTTTAATGATTTTTTTTTTTTTTTTTTTTTTTATAAATAGTTGTTGATGGACCTTTATTTTATTTCTTTGTATGTGGTGCTGAGAATCGAACTGTGGTGCTGAGAATCGAACCCAGGGCCTCTCACATGCTAGGCAGGCGCTCTTCCACTGAGCCACTCCCCCAGCCCCCTGTTATGTACCTTTTAAGCTAAGTATTTGTTGACCTGTCTTAAGGTAGTATTTTATCATTAACTGAATAACTTGAATATTTGCACATCCCTAAGAAATTTGTTAATATATACTAAAAATTAAATTCTACTTTCATTGCCAAGCTTTTGCTAAGATTAATATAGGTCTTAGCATCTTAATATCTAAATTAGTGATTATATGAGTCTAAAATCATTTGCCTTAAAATAAATTTACTATGCCGTAGATAAATGATAATCTAGATTATTTATGTTCATTAGTTGGTTTTTGGTAGAATGGTGTTCTATTTTATAGAGAAATGGTGTCAGTTTTTTTCATTGTTCTCAATATGTGAAGTAATAAATGAGAGTTTGCCTTCCTAATTAGTGGTTATTTTAGGAAATACCCTTCCTATATTAAAAAAATAATAATGCTGGCCACTCTTCTAAGAAGACTATTAGAGATAACAGCCTAAAATTTGTTTTCACAGGTTATTGAACTACATTGTCACTGGACATTACCAGATTGATAGGTACTGATCATGACAAACTATTATATAATGATATCTGTAGTTTCCATAATATGTTTGAATTGATAGAAATATTTATTTCCATATATGCCCTGTTCAGGATGTTAGACTTACCCCCTATTATAACAGTATTTAGGGGAGGCCCATAATGTAATGAACTAAATATCTCACGAAGGGGATTGGAACAGCAGTCAGGAGTGGCTCCTTTTAGCATCAAGTGATGTTAGTGGCTGTACACTCTGGAATATACAGTTTCCCATGAAATAGTGTAGTATCTTCCTTAGCTATTCCCTTGTTGGGAGATATGTTAAGCATGATGTCAGGGGTATATTCTGTATGACTTAGTCATAGGTCATGCTTTTTTCTTGTAGGTGATTTTAACTTTAAAATTCATCTGTTTTGTGAATACGTAAGAACTGGGTGTGCTATAAAATTCAAAAGGTACAAAGATATATACATTAGAAAGTCTTCCTCTTACCTCTCTATCCCTTAGTATCCTTGGAGAATATTGGTTTTGGTAGTTGGAATTTTATTTTGTTTGAAATGTTTCTCTTACATTTCATGCACTATTTTTCTTTTCCATGAAACCATGTAAAGGTTTAATTGAAATGTTCTCTTTCAAGGATATAACTTAAGGTTTTGGGGAGTTGTTTTGCATACTAGATTTAAGTGAGAACTTCAAATAAAGTAAATTTTATTTATGATTTAAAAACTTGATTTTTTTTCCCCTTTGACATTTGTAGACATACAGTTAGGGACTGTAAATTGCATGCTGGAGTTTGTTTCTTTTTTTTCTTTTTTTTGGTACCAGGTATTGAACCTAGGAGGCTCAACCACTGAGCCATATGCCCAGCCCTTTTTATTTTTTCATTTTGAGACAGAGTCTCTCTAAGCTCCTGAGGCTGGCTTCCAACTTGTGATCCTTCTGCCTCAGCCTCCCCAGCTGCGGGATCACAGGTGTGCATCACTGCCCCTGACTGTGCTGAAGTTTTTTCTGAGGGAAGAATATCATTCACCTTATAAATCGAAATGTGATCTTATGGCTTTAATGTGTATTTCTTTTGTTAATAAGGTTGAACATCTTTTTGTTTAATGGTTTGTTATTTATTAAATGTTTAGTATTTTCTTCACATATTTTAAATCTTGTATTTATTTATTTTCTTATTAATAATTTTAGTTGCAGATGGACCCAATACCTTTATTTATTTTTATGTGGTGCTGAGGATCGAACCCAGGGCTCACATGTGTGAGGCAAGTGCTGTACCACTGAGCCACAACCTTAGCCCCTAAATCTTATATTTAAAATATACAAAATCACAATACAATTTGTTTATGTTTTTTCTATTGACTATATCCCCCATTTCTTTGCAGTGTCATACCACTTTTTATCTTAATATTGCATAGTGCTGGTTTCATTTATTACTGCTTTTTAAGAATTTTTAAGTCTGTTAATTTATAGATTACTTTTGGTGGGCTAGGCACTGTGCTGAATATTGGGATTTGTTCTGTATCTGGATACAGAAATGAACAAAGTTCTTGCCTCCACAGAGCTTAGATTTTTAATAGGAAATTTGGTCCAATGTATCTTCCAGACTTTTAAAATGTATGCATTTATATTGATCATTTATTTGCAAAAAATACATTATTAATTAATGTATCATGTATTTATTTAGAGTTTACTAAATGATAGGTTCTGCTTTAGGGTAAAAGGTATTCTTGGGGAGTAAGACAGAGAAGGCTCTTGCTTTTGTGGAGCTTCTCTTTTAGTAACAAGCAGCCAGGATAACATAAGCTAAGTGACACACAGAGGACTGAGGAACAGGTTGGCTCTCAGGGAGCTTTAGGTTTGGTAGCCAGGGTATGCCCATCTGAAGAGATGACATTCATCTAAGCCACGAGAGACACAGGGACAGTGATTGCAGTGCACCAGGATAGAGGAGCAGGTCAAGTGCAAAGGTGAGACATTTGAGAAAAGTTGAGAAGAGCCAGGAAGGCCAGCATGGCCACATCACAGTGGTGAGGGAGGGGGCTAACAAGAGGACAGAGATGTGTGCAGAATACTAAAGGCTCTGGAAATCAGAACCTAGAGTTTAGAACTTACTCTAAGTGTGATGGGAGCCATTGGAGGATACTGAGCAGGAGCTGAAATGTTCCCTCTTGATTCTATGTGAAGAGAGGACTGGGGGCCAAGAGAAGGAGCTGGAAAAGCAGCAGATTGCCTTTCTCCTTCCTTTTCCATTTCATATTTCCTGCATGTTAGTCCCAAATCTTTTTCACTTTGTACCTGCTTTTATGGTAGTTCTTAGTTATATTGTATTGTGTTTGTCTTTCCCCTAACTAGAGAATTCCGGATTCCATATCTAATTTCCTTTTGTATTATCAACTTCTCTTGAACAGTGTTTCACAAATAATAAATGCATGTTTGCTTAATTGAATTTTAGATCACATTTCATTGTTGTGTATTAAAATATATGCTTTTTTTCCCCCTAGAGGCGTGGAGCTATTTCTTATGACAGTTCTGATCAGACTGCTCTGTACATTCGTATGCTAGGTAAGTACTAATTTATTTTGTATCAATGTTAGTTAAATTATCATGTTATTTGAGGTAGAGGTATCTTTCATTAGGTAGCTTTCATCGCTGGTTACAGCAGAAATTATTAATTTCACTGAAGTTTAGAATCTGGAAGCCAGTATTGAATGTGATATGAATAAAGGAAAGCATTCTTCATGAAAAGTAGTATTATAGGGTTGCTTCATACTAAAGAGATGATTGCCAAAATGGATGAAGACGAGGCCATGAAATATCTGATCAGATAGTCCTGTCGCTGGAAGTGTTTTGTTTTCAGTTGTCTGGCAAGGAAAACCATTTGTCTTCTTTTAGTCCTAGTGCTTAAATTTTTGATGTATTACTCAATTTTATAGGTAAATTACTTTATATATATATATTTTTTTTTTCTTCTCGCTTCATACACTCCACAATCCCTTCTTTTTAATTCATACTATCGAATATGTATATTCAGGTCCCAATAGGCAAATTTTCTCATTTTTTGTTAGAGGAATCTTCCTGTGGCTCTTCTCATCTCAGAATTCCTCCCTAACTTTAAGATACTGAGCACTGAGCCATCCTTATTTTTTAGCTACCTGTTTGTTCTTTGCTTCCTTCACAAATTGCTTTTCATACTCTTCAGCCCAAATATTCCCCAAGGCCCTCTTATTCCTTTTTTCTCCTCTTTAATTTATCTTGTGCATCTCACCTGCCTCAATTCTGTTCTAAGAGCTGGGGTATAGCTCAGTAGTAGAGCATTTGTCTAGCATGAGCAAGGTCCTGGGTTCAATCCCCAGCACCACCAAAACAAATTCTGTTCTCCTTTAGAATATACTTTTTTCCTCATGAATGTTCAGCTTTTTCCTCTTTACTATCTCCACTTCTAGAAACATGTTTAGGATTCTCCTATCCTTAAAGCAGAGTTTCAGACTCACATTTTCTTTAATTTTATGGACCATCTCCACATAGGTATGTTATGAATACCTCATGCTTAACGCATCTGCAAATTGATTTTGTGTTCCACAGGTCTGTATGGTGGTCTTTTGCCATCTCAGTAAATAAAACTCCGTTCTCCCCATTGTCAAGTCAAAAACTTAAGAGTCATTTTTTATTTCTCTTTCTTACATACTCCATGTCTAATTTATGAGCAAATCCTCTGGGCAGACACCTGCAAAATGCATGCAGAATCTCACCACCCCAGTGCTGTTACCAGCCCAATCTAAACCATGATTGTTGCCTTATCTCTTGAACTTGTTCCTTGACTGGCCTTCCTACATTCACCCGTGTGCCTCCACTCTATTCTAGTCTGCAGCCAGAAAACCTTTTCAGACAAAGCTAAGTCATCTTACTCTTCTGTTCAGGATCCTCCGATGGTTTTCTGAGAGAACCAGCCACAGCTATTACAATGACCACAAAGGCCCAGTGTGATCTGGTCCTACTGCCTCTCTGACCTCACCTCCCAGGAGTTCCCTCACTTATCTCTCTCCTGACATGCTGGTCTCTGCTTGTCTTGGAACATGCCAAGCATGCTGCTTTCCTAGAGTGTTTATACTTGCTTTTCCTTATGCTCTGAAACCTCTCACTTCTGATAGTCTTGTGGTGCACTGTCTTACTTCCCTCACATCCCTGCTCGTTTTCAATAGGGACTTCCCTTCACATGTTTGAATCACTGCCCCCCCCCCATTTCTCTTTAGTGTTCTCCATGTAAAGTCTTCCATAGAATGAAATTGTGTATTTGCTTTATTATTTGTTTTATCCCATAAGATAAAGTTCATGAGGACAGGGACTTTCTGTATTTTGCTTACTGATATATGTGGAGTGCCAGATGTGAGGAGCACTTTTTTGTCACACATGAAAGAGGTGATTAGATCTTATGAGTTGGAGTTAAGGTAGATGGAATGAACCTGGAAGGAAGTAAGTGATGTTCTTACGTAGAGAAACAAAGGGTAACAAAATTGCAAGAGCACAGGGGATGAGACTGAAGACTTGGGGTTAGGAGATTGAGGGTTGTAAAAATGTAATGGGAAGACTGCTCTCTTTGGAACCCACAGGGCTAGGTTTAAATCTTCGCTCACTGTTTACATTAACTTTGTGGCAGGGAACATTGCTATTTAACTTCTCAAAGTCCAGTTTCTGCATCTGTAAAATGTGGATGAAGATTCCTTTGGCTCTTTGACTAGGGAACTAAATAAAGCAATGTCTGTAAGACAAAAAGAGTGCCTTGTATATGGTTGGTACATAAATGTTTCTGTATAGAGAAATGAGTCTGTCCAAAAATCACATGAGTACATGTAGGAACAACGCTGAGCTTGTAAACACCAAAATTTAAGAACCAGCTAAAGACCTTGGGTTGAAACTGATTATGAGAAGAGAGAAAGAAGATTGATCAAATCAAATACATAGAGGAAAGTATAGTAACATTATAATTTATTGCACATTTGTGAAATTGGAAATTGCTTGAGAATAGGTAATGTATTTTCTATTTTTCATATCCCTTATAGCCCATGATATGGTGTGAGACATAGAGTGACTTTTAAAAGTTTGTTCTGAAGATTTTCTGTCTCCTGTAAAATAGATTTGGTTTCCCAGTGGCTTTTTTTTTTTTTTTTTGTAAACTTCACATGAGTAGCAAGGTATTAGATTGGATTATCATGTACCCGAGTCATCTTTCAGAAAACTAACTTTAAAATATAGATTATAAGAACTATTATTAGTGTAGGGGTACTCTAAAAAAAAAATTCTCCTTATCCAGACTTAAAACTTGGTGCTGAAAATTTGTGAACTCCTTCAAATAAATTAGCTCTTAATTTCTTGCTCCATGTGTATCATTAATGGGATACTTCTTATGGATGTGATGGCATATGGGCCTCTTTTTACATGTGGGAGCTTCTTCACAAATGACAGCCTTCTAAACTTACTTCTGCTCTTAATTCTATCCAGGAGATGTACGAGTAAGGAGCCGAGCAGGATTTGAATCAGAAAGAAGAGGTTCTCATCCATATATTGATTTTCGTATTTTTCACTGTAAGTGTTGGCAGTCACAAATGTTTCTTTTAAACTTTCAAAACTAATTTAGGTTTTCATAATATTATGTGGTTTTCCAAGTGGAAACAATACAAAAAACAAAAATTATTTTGTGTTTGGAATTTTTAAAAGCATTTAGGTCATAAGTGACACTATATTTCTGGATGTTAACAAATGCTTAACATTTGCTAATTGGAAAAGGGGGTATTAGGGGCTGGGGTTGTAGCTCAGTGATAGAGTGCTCGCCTAGCATGTGCGAGATCCTGGGTTTGATCCTCTGTACCACATAAAAATAAATAAAATAAAGGTATTGTGTCCAACTACAACTAAAAAGTAAAATATTAAAAAAAAAGAAAAGGGGTATTAAAATATTAACACTGCTTTAGGGCTGGGGATATGTAGCTCAAGTGGTAGAGTGCTTGCCTCACATGCACAAGGCCCTGGATTCAATCCCCAGCACCACACACACACACACACTCACTATATATAAAACAAAAGTGTCTATATTTTAATATATATATATTAAAATATAGACACTTTTGTTTTAGTTTCTCTTTTATAATTTAACTGTGAAATTACTTTAGTATATTCATTTCTTTTAAAATGTTTTTTAGGAAGTCATTTTTATTACAACTGATTTGTCTCTGCTACTCTAAACAATGTTGTTATATGAATGATATTTTATAAAGGTATTTCAGTAGTTTAACAAGGTGTTACCATTTTATGTGAAAATGCACATCACCTTCAAACATCTTGGTAAAATGCATATTTTGGAAGCAAAAATTCTGTGTGGGTCTATCCCATAATGTAGGAAAAGGGAAAAAACAGAACTTCTAAACCCCTTAAATATTAAGTACATTAAATCTGTTTCTGGAGGAGTTCCACTTTTGGTCATGTTGGGTAAAGTAATTTGGATTAACACCCTAACTGAAAAAAATGAGAAAAACTGGATAAAATATGAAAGACTTGTATTCAGTGTGTCTAAAGATTAATAATAAGGCAGAGAGATGAGTCTGGCTTTTCAGACCACTCTTTCCTTGAGTAGCATGTGCTGATTCTGAGAAAGGTTGGTAAGAAGCACAACAGAGCTTTCGATGGACACTTAAGGCTAGAGAAGCAAAAACAAGTATTTAAAGCCCACCAAGGTTATGGGGTGGTTAGGTACTGGTAAACCCTTCATGCTTAGGTTGGAACCCCAAAGTGCTACCCACATGCTAGAAATAAATGCCAGCTTTGAACTATCTCAGTCACAGATTATAGTTGATCTATGACTAATACTTTCTGCTTAATGAGGGAAAGAAACATTACTTGTCCCTCAAGGTTGCTAGCCTCAAACACAATTGTGAGAAATGGCCCAGGCTAAATATTCATCAGGACTTTGTATTCTTGGCACATCTCTTAAGAATGTGCATGGATACTTGGGACCTTGGTGAAGGATTACCTCTTCCACTAGTAATAAATGCCTCCAAAACTTATTGTCATAAAACAATCACCTTTTTTTATGCATATGACTCCAAGAATCAGGAATTCACTCAAATCTATCAGATTTGACTTACCTTTGCTAGATGACTTCTTGCTCTTTAATTGGGAATGGCTGGAATGCCGATGCTGGGTCCATATGCCTGGGGCCATGGTTCTCTTCATGTCATATCCTGGGGCTGGAACCTTCAGCATGGTTTCTGCACTCTTAGGTCTGGTGTCAGCACTAGGAAGGCTGGAATTGCTGGGGCTGACCAGCATTTCTCTTTCCATAAATAGCAATCTCAGGGTAGTTGGACTTCTTTTTTCCCAGTACTAGGGGTTGAACCCAGGGCCTCACATACAATAGGCAAGTGCTCTACCAGTGAGCTGCAGCCCCAGTCCTTGTTTAAATTTTATTTTGAGACAGGGTCTCACCAAGTTGGCCAGGCTGGCTTTGAACTAGTGAGCTCCTGTCTGAGCCTTCCAAGTAGCTGGGATTAGAGGCTTGCAACACCATGCTTAGCTATAATTAGACTTCTTACATGGGAGCTGCCTTTTCCCAGAGAAAGTATTTCAAGAGAAAGGAAGTGTAGGAAATTTGTTTCTGAAGGTCTGGGCCTGGACCCTGCAAAGCATTATGTTTCTGTATTTTCTTGATCAGCCATGTCACACAGCTTGCTCAGACTAATGGAGAGAGGATGTAGGCCAGTTACCAAAGGGAATACAGTTGAAAGTTTTTAAATCCTCCTTCTTTAATCTGGCACAAAATTTGTTGATAAAGTAACTTAGGTTCTATAAGGAGAAGATATAATCTCACAGAAGCAGTCTTTGAGGAGACAATGGCTGAGAAGTCTTTACAAAGTGATAAAAGACAGTAAGGCATAAACTGACTGCAGTGGCGCATGCCTGTAAACCCATTGGCTCAGGAGGCTGAGGTGGATCATAAATTCAAAGCCAGCCTCAGCAACTTAGTAAGGCCCTAAGCAATTTAGCAAGACCCAGTCTCAAAATAAAATGTAAAAAGGGCCGGAAATGTGGCTCAGTGGTTTAGTGTCCCTGGGTTCAATCCCTGGTACCAAAACAACAACAACAAAAAGACATTAAGGCATAGATTTAAGAAGCACTATAAATCTCAAAAAGAGAAACATTAAAAGAAACCCACATTACATATTGTATACTATTACATAGTATAACTGTAAATACTGAAGTCAAAAAGAAAATATTAAAGTTGTGAGAGAGAAAAAAGTCACCTTCAAAAGAGTGGTTATGAGATTGTCAGAAGCAGATTGTTTCATTTTCTTTTTTTCTTGGGGTCCTCTAACTTGAGCCATAGTGTATAGGGTGTATTGATTTCAGAGGTAACTTCATCCTCTGCATCCTGGGTGGTGATGGTGGCCACACAGATGTGTTGGTGGGGCAGGGCTGAGGCAAGGTAGTTCATTTACAAAAGAACTGAAATGCTAAAAGACAAAGGAAAGATAGCTCTGCTGTGCTAGAAAAACTAAATAACTGTCAAACTAAAATTTTATCCACAAACTTCTACAGAGTAGAAAGAAAAGGACATACTTCATAATTATTATGTAAGGCTAGCAAGGTCTTTATATTAACTAACTGATGTGGATACAACAAGAACAGAAAATTGCAGCCAAATCACTCATGGATATGCATAACATAATTGAATTAAATCTGTAGTATATTAGAAGACTAACGTATTTTGACCCAATTTGTGTTTTCTAGGATTATAAGGTTGGTTTAATATTGAAAAGTCAATCAGTGTAATTTGGTACAACTTTATAGGAAACTGTAAGACATTATAGAGGAAAATTAAATTGACCAAAATAGAGACATATACAATTTGTTCATGATTCAGAAGACTAAATAGAAATGTCAGTTTTTCTCAAATTGACCTGTGTATAAGTTTAGTGAAATAATAATAAAACTCACTATTTTTTCCTAATGGAATGAACAAGCTGATTCTAAAACTTATATATAAGATTAAAAAAGTCAAGAATAACTCAGGGTCTGCATTGGCGCTGGCCCCAGCAGGAGGCCCCCCATCGCCACTGTCACTCGTGCTGCTGTGCCTCTTCTTCTTCTTTTGTTCCGCTTGTTGGTCGCAGTGGAAGCACAAGGAATAGTTGGTCCTTCTCAGCTTTATTCCAAAAGAACATGGCGGCGAGAGGGGAGGCAGCGCTTTCAGTACCTCCTCAACTACTGGGTCAGAGAGACGCATGGATACGCTTAGATTCGACCTGCTGAGAAACTCCTAGCAAAATTCCACTAAAGAGAGATCAGCCGGGAATCGGTAGGATTTTTGGAGGTGACAGTCTGCGCTAGACGAGTGAATCTCCGCCACGCAGCGCAGAGGTCCAGACCCGCCAGCCGCTGCCCGCGCGACTCGGCTACTGTCGGCTGCCTGCACGCGGCCCCCGCGCAGGGCGGATAGCCTCTGAGGCGCAGCGCAGCAGGAGCGGTGCAGGGACTCTAGGAAGAGGTCTCTCGCCAAGCCTTCATGAAATAGCAAACCGGGAGCTGAAACCAACCAGAGACAGACCAGTCCCACCCCTCCCTTCGGACACTCCGGCAAGGAGCCTGGGGCCCACCATAGCAGAGTGGTGACATCACCAGAGTTCCGCCGACAGAATTCCTTCCTAGCGGAATCCACATTAGCAGGTGTGTGACTCCCACCCCCTCCAGATACAAGCAGCCAGGAAACCACCGGGGGCATGTCTGTAGGGAAGCAGAGGGGATTCCAGATCCCCACCTCCCCTTAACACCAGCGGCGACACCCAAGATCTTAGCCGCCAGTTTCTGGGGGCGTGCCCACCAAAGGGGTCCGGAAAAATTAAACTGTTGGTTCCCAGATCACCCCACCACAGCACTGGGGCTTAGATGAATGACAGAGAGGGTGTTCATCGTTCGGGATATAGGACACGCGGTGGGGCTGCAAGTGTAATCAGATCCTTGGGGAACCGCCTCTGGTGAACAGGACCTGGCTGGCTGGCTGGGAGGAGGAACAGGGGGAGGGGCCGGATAAGTGAAAGGGCTCTGGACTAACAGGATTGAGAGACTCCCAGGAGCCACCGTACAGGGATTTCTGTCAGCACATAGAGGGCAGAAGCTCGGCTCAGAGGGCACAGCTCCGCCTATTGGAAGAGAAGAAAATGGGATTCAGCCATTGAACAGGGGATGCCAGCATGGCAGAGATCTGATGTCATCGGAGAGCGGCCGAGGAGAAAACTTCATCGGTGCCAGCGGCGACGGAAACAGTTGGTCTCCTGGTAGGGAGGGTGAGTCACAGATACCCGAGTCTCTCTCGCTTTGTCGTCGAGCCAGAGGGGAGGAGAGGGGCCGCCGCCCGCGCCCGCAAGGTAGGCAGACCTGCGACCAACCTGCAGATCAGGCCCGGCGGTCTGCAGGTGTGGTAGGAGGGGCAGGGCAGAGCCACCGCCTGCGCCGGCAAGGTAAGCAGACCTGCGACAGACCGGCGGATCAGGCCCAGCGGCCTGCCAGCGTGGTACACACTTCACCCCAACTGG